CATCGATTCCGAGTCACCCGTGACAGGTTTCTCGTGCAGTTTTCCCACCGCATACATCGATCGAATTCCCGAGTCTCGCGTGAGAGGCAAGCCCAGCAACCATGCTCCTAGAAGAAACCCATATAGATGTGCCGACAAAGGCAGCAGGGGAGGGTTCAATGCGTATGCCATCCACACACCCGACCCTTGAAATGGTGACTCAAATGTGATCTGAGGCTGAGCAAAAATGTCCAAATTGGCACAAAACCAAAAAAGGCATCTTCATCTTTCATCCCACCATCGCTGGGTACCCGAATGCAAAGTTTCCCGGGGTCGTGGTATTCTCGGAGATCTACCAAGGTAAATAAAAGAAAAAACTCTACCTGGAAGAGAAGAAAGAAGAAAAAGGACTCTTTTTCTCTTCTACATATCCCTCCCAAACAGAAGTCATACCGGGGGTAGTTTTAATGAGAAAGAACCCCCGTCACCTACATGTACACAACAAGTGTAGACTGAAACCACTTTCTTTCTCCTTGTAGTGACCGGCCCCGTCTCCCGCTTCGCCCGCCAAATCGCCGGCCAAGGCTACATCGTCGCCGCGCCCTCGTGCTACCACGAATTCACGGGTCCCGAGCCGCTCTCCTACGACGGCCCCGGCACCGACGCGGGGAACCTCTGGAAAATCACCAAGAAGGTCGCCGCCTACGACGAGGACGCCCAGCTGGCCGTGTCGTACCTGCTGGGCCTGAAGACGTGCAACGGCCGGATCGGCGCCACGGGCATGTGTCTCGGCGGCCACCTCGCGTACCGGTGCGCGCTGGACTCGCGGGTCAAGGCCGCCCTGTGCTTCTTCGCCACGGACATCCATAGCAGCACCCTCGGCGAGGGGAAGAAGGACGACTCCCTCAAGAGGGCCGGCGACATCAAGGGCGAACTGGTCATGATCTTTGGTACGGCCGACACCCACGTCCCCGCCGAGGGGAGGGATCTCATCCGCAAGACGCTGCGCGAAAAGGGCGTCGCCTTCTCCTTCTACGAGGTCCACGACGCCCAGCACGCCTTTGTCCGCGACGAGCTGAGCAAAGGCCGCTACGACCCGGCCATCACGAAGGTGTGCTTCGAGATGCTCCTCGAACTCTTTAACCGGAGGCTCAAGGTCGATCTGGGCGAGCCGAGCGGCGAGAAGCTGGTCGTTGAGGACATCTGCTGACAACCAGCAAAGCTCTAAAACGAAGGACAGATACTTTGGAAATAGGGGACCAAAAAAGATTGCAAGGCGGGGACGATCCAATCCCCAGTAGAGGCTATTGATCATCTAGACCAGACAATTGCGATACAATAGATACACCCAACCCCATACCAAGAATCGGGTCTTTTATATTTTTTTGTCCCGTTGGTCAGTTAAACTTGTCTTTACAATTTTGCCCCGGGTTTCGTGGCCTCCTCTCCCGTCGTCTTGTACCCGAACAGATACGCGGCGACCTTGCGCATCTGGACTTCCTCGCTCCCCTCGGTGATGCGATACCGCCGGAAGTGTCGCCAGATGTGCTCAAAGGGGTAGTGTCGCGAGTATCCCACGCCGCCGTGGACCTGGATGGCTCGGTCCGCGGCCTCACAGCACAGGCGGTTGGCGTAGTAGTTGCACATGCCAATCTTGTGGCCCAGCTGCTTCTCAATGGCGACCCACGGCGCCTTGCCATTGGCCTTGGCCACTGCCGTGACCTGGTCCATCTCCACCGCGGTGCGGAGGATCAGGAGCCGGAGCATCTCGGCCTGAGTCGCGAGCTCCACAAGCGGCCACTGTATGGCCTGGTTCGCCGACAGGGGCTTTCCAAACACCATGCGCTTTTTGGCGTACTCGACGCTGCGGTCTACGCAGTACTGCGCCGCACCGCAGCTGGAAGCCGCCTGTCGAATACGGTTCTCGTGCGTGAATGTCTGGGCGATGGCCAGGCCGTTGTCCAGCGGGCCAAAAATCGCTGACGCGGGCACTTGGACTTTGTCAAAGAGCACGGTTGCGTGGTCCGTTGGCATGTTCAGCGTCCATTCATACGATGCAACCTTCAGCCCCGGTGTCTCTCGGGGCACGATGAAGGCCGTGATGCCCTTGGGGTCTCCGTTGCGGCCAGAGGTCCGGGCAAAGACCATGCAGTGCGTGGCGGCGTGCATGCCCGTCTGCCATTTCTTGTTGCCGTTGATCTCGTACCCGGGCTCGCCATTGGGTAACGTGATGGGCGTGGCCCTGGTGTCCATGTGGGTAGCGTCAGAGCCGTGGTAGATCTCGGTCAAGCCAAATGTGGCCTTGAACTCGCCCTTGATGCTGGCGGGGATGTACTTGTCCTGCTGCTCCTTGGTGCCATAGTGGTGCATCATGATGATGAACGGATTGTTGCCGACGACACTGTGCTCGTTCTGCAGGTCGTTGGCCAAGCTCACGCCGCCTCCGTAGACCGGATGGGACGCCAGGTGATACCGGATGGCACACATGTACAGGTTCAGGTCCTCGCTGGCAGAGCCGCCGAATTCCTTGGGGAAGCCGAATCGGTAGAATCCAGCTTCATCGGAAAGTTTGCGTGCTTGCTGGAGGAGTTCCTCCCAATCATGACGAGGGAGGCCTAGGTTGTCCCATTGCGTTCGCGAAGATTCGCGGCGGTGGTCGAAGAAGCGGTTATTGTCGTCCTTGTGCTGGAGCGGCAGGATCTTGTCCTTGATGAATGCGTCGACGCGCGATAGATAGTTTTTAAGCTCGGCGGGATATTCGAAATTCATCTTGTCTCTGGGTCGGGAAATAAAGCTGGGGGCAAGCAAAAGAACTGGAGAGGGGCTCGACACTGGTCTTGCTCAAGAACAACTTATCATCAAGTGCATTTTATCTGGGTTGACAGCTTTGACTTTGCATCTTGGCGTATTGTCGGCTTTGTCGAAGCGGAGTAAGGCGAGGCTGATGATGGAGAAACATTATCCTCGGATGCAGCATCCCTCGGTTCACTGACTTGGGCTAACAACTCATGCCACTTTGGGTGGGTTGACACTGGCATATCTGACAGATCTTCAGTATTGGGCTTGTGCTCTGCCGTAATTGGAATTCCGTGGAGCATCAGCGGATTGGCAGGACTGGCTTCCGTTTTAGCCGTATGGCCGTGTACACCGAGGCACCTGCGAATCAGCCTTGTTCTAGATTCTCCAACGATCTGAACGATCTGTGGAACGCGCCTCGCTCGATTTCGACCTCGACTGTTGCTGTGGCCCGTAGGCGTCGTCAAAACATCTTTCGGCATGCTTTTCTCTGTGTCGGTGTCGGTCGAAATATTCGGGCCACTACAGATGACTTGTTTTACGCCATCGATTACCAAATCGAGCAGGGAGAAGGGTCCTCAGAATTTCCTCGAGTTGGGGACGACTTGCTGCTAATGTTCAGGTATGTAGCCGTGGCAGCATCAAGTGCAGACAGCGGGACGGCCTGTCATATGTGAAGCCTTGGATCCCGGAACTCCCCTATCGTCCTAAGTCCAGAGACCATTCAGTGATGATGCACAAGACTGGGAGTCTGGCAACCCCCATTTTGGTGATGGGATCATTAGCTGTCCGAAGAGCGTATGGTTGTTGCATGCCTAGAAGACGTGGCACGCAACTGCTTCTACTCGTACTCGGTGCTGTTCCAGGCACAGCACGTTGGGACCCCAAAGATGCCGAGTGGCTCTGTCTCGTCATCAGTTCTTCGGGCGTTCTGTGACTCGTGGCCATGCCAACCGCAACCCCTGATGATAAACCCCCCAGCGCTTTTGGTATCTTGCCAGGGTTGTCTCAGACCAGTGTCGGATGCTGCTCGAAGACTTGAAGGGTGCACATGTCTCAATCTCGTTTACATACTAGACTCAGCAAGATGAGAATGTCAGATTGCAAGGCCAGAGCATCCTTCTTATCCGAAGGTGCAGTCGTCTGGTTTCCCTGCGACATGAGTCTCATGCATATGTGGTTCTAGCCATGTCTCTGATGGCTCCCCGCAGACGAATTCCGACTTCCCCATACCAAACGCAAAGATCCTCCTCTTGATCGTCCACACAGATAGGCGAACAGCCTCTGTGGCTGGCGGTGATGATCTCGAGCACGGCAGGGTACGGTATCAGATTCCAGGAGAAGTCAGCATCGAGGATTCGAGGGAAGGCTATACCCAGGTGAGTCAGGAGGCTGAGTAGAAGCTGAGACCATCATGGCACACGGGCAAGCAGCAAACGTTGGAGGCGGCAGCAAAACGAGGCTCCAATCTCGGGATGCAAGCCACGGGAGCGCCAAGCTTGAATAGTTGCGGTGCACTAAGCCTTTCTGGGAATCTCCCTTCTCCTTTTTTCAACTTCCTCTCACTTCCAACATTTGCACCAAGACAACAGTTGATTCTGTGGCTTGATCACGAAATTTTGGTCCAAAGGAACCCACAGGCATAGCGCGACTGTTACACCGTTCAGAACTCAACCTTCTTTCGGAACGGTGGACCGGGGTATTACGCCAAAAGTGTCACCCTTCTTCAGCTGCCAAACAAAGAACGGCGACTATCCCCCAGTGGTGCCAGTGTCCACAATCATCATGTCACTGGCCTGTCGAGGCCCCCGCCGGGAGAATCTCATGCGTCTTCCAGCCATGTGGCGCTGATCTCTAACAGGGTGCCAACCTAGTAGCTTTTGATATGATTCGATGACCCTTTGGACAAGGGTTTGCAGAACTCCCAGAAGGGAGTAGACCACATGTGCGTCGTTCGCGCTTTGGGCTAGGTAAGATGGTGCTGCGGAGAAGGCTCAGCGTCGAGCGACGCCATCTACTACTCTACCTGCACATCCCTCGTCTTCCCTCCCTCTTCACTTTTGGTAAACCATCTTTGCGTTGTCGATTGGCACGCGTCCATTCGTTCTTCACCACAGTCGCTCTTTTTCCTTTGAGCTGTTGCTCAATGCAACATGCTGCCATTCTTTTATTTCCTTTTGTTGTCTGATGTGGCTTTAGGTGCATTGGGAAAATGGGACGGTTTCATGCCATGGAAGAAGAATCTGCTCGAACGCGACGTCGAACCGACCTGCTCTTGTACTGATCCGATCGCCGCCGAGTGGGCTACCAACAAATTCTTTGCGGATGCTGCGACATCTGCTGCGACCCCGGCCGGTTATTATCAAGCATTTAAAAATGGACAAGCATGGGTCTCAGGAGATGGGTTTATTGGACACACGACGATTGATGAGTACGATAGCGGCATCTGCGCAGCCATTTGCAATAGCATTGACGAATGCTCCTCGTTCGAAATCTACTTTGAGAAGGAAATCGGCGGACCAGCTCCAGCAATCAAGTGTTCTTTCTGGGCTGGTTCCATCAGCCCTGCTGGTCCAAACAGTGCAAATGCGGTCATCGCTGGTTGTAACGGCTACACTAACAGCACCTTGACAACTCCGAAAGGATTCGATGTGCCAGTATTCATTGCGGGTTCGGCGATCCATCCACCACCGACATCTGGGGCTTTCATGGGCTCAAAGATCTTCTATGGCCCATTTGACACAGCATACTGCGCCAAGGAGTGCAGCGCGGTCGGATGTAATTTCTTCAACACCTATGTTCTCTCTAAAGACGGTGTGAGCCAGGGTCAATATTGCGACATGTACGCTCAGACGTTCGGACCGGAATGGGCCACGGAAACTGGAAGATCAGATGGGAACACAAACTATACCATCTCTCACAGCTTCACCTGCCGTTCCGCTGGAGAAAAACGTGGTGAGGATCATTCCAATACCGGCAGCAATGGTGGCAAGGGAGGGTCTTGGGAAGATCATCATCCCTGGCACGGGAGCAATCCCTATGCAGGCAATACTGGGAGCAGCTCCAGCAGTAGCTCAAGCACTTCGAAAATTTCCACTTCTGCAGGGCCTTCTGCGACCTCTGGCAGACCGGGAGGTAACGGTCCCAGCCATACTAGACACTCACCATCTGCTTCGACACCAGTTTCTCCCACGGATGGGCACACACAACCTGGAGGGGGAACGGGGACACCATCGACGTCTGCTTCCAGCACGCCCACGAGCAAGCCTGGAAACAGCTCGGGAACCCGGAACCCCGTTGATCCTACCACCCGGAGACCTTCAACCACTCCAACCGGCCCGAGTGGCTCTTCGACTGGTGGTGGCCCAGGGCATTCAGGACCTGTTGAAGCGACTAGCTCCAAGTCGACTCCTTCCGGATCCGGACGGCCTCCACACTCGTCGCTCAGCAAGCCGAATCACGAAAGCCAATGGCTCGACTGGAACAGTTCTCATTCATCAAAGACCACGGAGTTATCTTCGTCAACCACCCAAGAGCCTGTTGATGCATCGACTACAGAGACCAGCTCGTTTTCCAGCGGGCGGCCAGGACAGCCAACTCGACCTCCGGGTGGTCGCCCACACTCTTCATCAAACAGAGGGAATAGTGGCTCTGGTGGCTGGGGGGATTGGGGATTGCCAACGGGACATAGTTCCTCCGATACTTTGACTACGACGACCACCTCGTCGAAGCCAGTCGAGGCTGCATCGACGAAATCTACCACCTCTTCCGTCCATTCTGGCAACCCCACTATTTCGCACCCCACGCGTCCAGGAGGATGGCCATCACACAGCGGATCAGAGAAACCGTGGCTTGATTGGACGTCATCGTCCACTTCAAGCTCTCTCATCGTCGATGACCTTACCACAACTTCTTCTGCACCATCTACATCTTCTGCGTATCCACGTCCGAGCAGCTTCACCTGGCCAGCAGAAAATGGTACAGGAAAGGTCTGGCTGGATTGGACAACTTCGTCTTCAACTTCAAGCCTTCTGCCTGTTGACGCTGCAACAACCACCTCGATCCAGCCAACTACCACTTCCACAGGTTACTTTAATCCTAGCAGCCGCTTTGCTTGGCCCTCGGAGAATGGAACAGAACAGATCTGGCTGGACTGGACGACATCTTCAACTTCAAGCTCCTTGCTTGTTGACGCGCTAACAACAACCTCAACACTTCCAACGACGACTTCGACTTTGTCGAGGCCGGGTGGCTCCGGCTGGCCCTCGGAAAGCGGGACACAACGAGTCTGGTTGGACTGGACCACATCATCCACCTCTAGTTCTTTGTTTGTTGATGCGGCAACAACAATATCGACGACCACCGCTACCTCGAATGCGGTGAGGCCTTCCGGCTCTACCTGGCCTGCGGAAAATGGCAGTGCATGGGAAGATTGGAGTAGGACATCTACGTCTACCTCGACCAGTCTTGCCGTGGCCGACGCTACAACTTCTTCTCTTCCTACCACCAGCTCTGGGGCAGTTTATTCTAGTTGGCCGTTTGAAAACGGCAGTCTATGGCTCGACTGGACCAAGACAACTTCATCTTCGTCGACCGTCCTTCCTGACGCCGATGCTACAACTTCTTCGCCTCTTTTGACCACCACTTCTCAGACCACTTCAAGAGCAGCTTACACCGGGTGGCCTTCTGAAAATGGTAGTCTGTGGCTGGACTGGACGCGGACATCCTCATCGACGTCGAGCGTTCTCACTGTTGCCGATGCCACTACGACTTCGCCCCTGGGCACGACCAGTTCCATACCTAGCTATTCCGCCTGGCCATCTGAAAACGGCAGCGCCTGGTTAGACTGGACACGAACGGTTTCAACTTCGACCTCGAGC